GTTCAGAAACAGAAACAGAAACAGAAACTTTTTATTCAATATAGATTATAAATAATACTTATTGAAAGTCACTCTTTTGTATGATTACCACTGGTTCGAAAAAAAAAAAACATCTGTCCTGGGAAGAACCAGCAAGAAACCCAGCGGGACTTTTTTTTAAATAACAGCTTACAATCATGTATGTTACACAAATTAACAACACAATAAATTAGAAATAGCTTGGTAGCGATCACCTCATTTCCAGGGGTTATTATCATCTATAAATTCATTAATATTATAATAACCCTTTTTATACAAACTTAGTTTAATAAAGTTTTTGAACTTTGAGCAGGTCAAATTTTGTATATTTTCTGGAATTTTGTTGTAAAAGCGTATACATCGCCCCAAGAATGAATTACTGACTCCATGGAGTCGAGTAACTGGTACTACTAGCTTGTGTCTGTTCCTAGTATTTACAGAATGAATATCACTTATTTTTGTAAAACTACTTTTATTTTTGTGTACGTACATTACATTTTCATAAATGTATTGAGAGGCCAAAGTTAATATATTAATTTCCTTAAATTTTTGTCGCAGCGACTCTTTAGGCTTTAAATCATAAATTGCTCTTATGGCCCTCTTCTGTAAAACAAATATAATTTCAGTGTCAGCTGCGTGTCCCCATAGCAAAATACCATACGACATTATGCTATGGAAATAGCTAAAGTAAACTAGTCTAGCTGTTTCAACACTAGTTAGACTTCTAATCTTTTTTACGGCATATGCTGCAGAACTAAGTCTGCTTGCTAGTTTTGATATATGGGGGCTCCTTTGAAGCTTCGCGTCTAATGTGATTCCAAGAAAAATGGTGGTATCTACAAGACTCAGTTTCTCCCCATTTAAAATTACATTAGTATTTAATTGTTTGACATTTGGAGTCATAAATTTCATACATTTCGTTTTAGTGCCATTAAAATGCAAATTATTAACATTGAACCAATTTACTAATTTAGATATAGCATTATTTACTTCGTCATATTTTAGCAATTGTCGACTTAATTTGAAAATTAAAGAAGTGTCATCTGCAAATAATACTATATCATGGTTATCTCCTACTATGTAAGGTAAGTCATTAATGTATACAAGAAACAGAAAGGGGCCGAGAATTGAGCCTTGACAACTTTTTGCGTTCTCTTACTTAAATATGAAATAATTAATTTAAGAGCATCACTTCTTACACCGTAGTGTTGAAGTTTCCTGATTAATGTTTCATGGTGAACACAATCGAAGGCTTTGGATAGGTCACAAAATGTACCCAAAGCATCCTGTGAATTCTCCCATGCATTAAATATACATTTAATCAGCTCAACACCGGCATCAGTTGTCGAGCGACCCCTTGTGAAACCAAATTGATTTTTATGAAGTAAATTATTTATATTAAAGAAATTTAACATTTGATCAAGAATAATTTTTTCAAAAATCTTACTAAGTGTTAGTAGTACAGAAATAGGTCTAAAATTGGCGGGGTCTAATGTACTACCAGATTTAAATAAAGGTATTACTTTACTATACTTCATTCAATCAGGAAACATACCAGATTCGATACGAGTATTAAAAATAATAGCTAAATGAGGCGCGATTGTATCTATTATAGACGCAATAACTTTAACGGAAATCCCCCACAGATCCGCAGTTTTCTTAACATCAATAGTTTTAAAATATTTTACAATATCTTTTGATGATACTTTATGAAATGCAAAATTCTTTGTACACGCATTTACATTTTGTTTAAGTAATGATTCGGCGACCGCAGGAGAAGAATTCAGTGACTTAGTGGTTAATATCGGAATATCGGCAGTTATACTCAACCAAATCTAAGAAATACCTTTTGATGTGTCTCATTAACTTTGTACAGGCGTACACATACAATAATTTAAAATAAATTTCTACGTAAATACAAAGGATTAAAAGTTATCTATATTTCATTACAACATGGAATTAATCAAACAATTACATTTTATAATTCATTATTTGTTTATTATTAGAACTGCATAAATTTTATAAACATGAATCCCGATCACTAAATCAGTTAAACGCCGATATTTCCATAATTGTATTAACAACTCTTCTCCCGACGAAGTGTACAAATTTCTTAGATCTTTTGGTCTTTGCAAGCCAGCTACATTGGATTATGGTCCTTTTCTATCACTTGATGAAATCAACCAACATTTCGCTTCTGTAACAGCAATGGACCCTACAATTCGCTCTCAAACTGTGGCTTCCATTGCTTCTGTGCGAATTTCCAATGTACCTACCTTTAATTTCTCTCCTGTTTCTCAGGATGAAGTCAAGAAGTCTATTTTAGCAATTCAGTCCAAGGCGGTGGGTTATGATGAGATTAGAAGACAAATGGTAGTATTTATACTAGAGCAACATCTTTCGGCAATTTCCCCTCGTCTTTTAGTTCCTCCAGTTCGCACTTGATGGTCTTGACATCTTCCAACAATTGCGGTATAGAGTTAACCCTACTTTTAATGTCGCGGATCTCTTTCAATATGACTTCGTTGATCGATGTTTCATTTTTTGTATTCTTGCAATGAGCACACCTCCATGCAGATTTTTTGTCTTGATTGAGTCTACGATAGCTTTTTTCTTCCAAGCCAGCGCAGCCGTAGCAGAGATGGTTTTTACAACCATAGCACGATACACAATCATTAATCGTTTCTTGGCAGATTGCACACAGCATGGTTATTTAGATAAGCAATTTTAAAGATCTATTTTTTAGGAGCACAATTTTGAACGTAACGCACTAGTTGATAATAAAGCTTTACGCGTTAACTGCAGTGAACGTGTCTACTTTGCGCGGCGACTGACCGCGAAACTTTACTTACTTATTTTACTTACTTTACTTATTTTACTTATACTTTATTACCTCCATCTTTGATTGCTCGTACCATCTGTATGCCGATGATCTTCAGCTATACGTGTAAGCTGAAATTGGGGATATCAATAATTGGATTAAAAATTGAATGACAACTTATCAGCTATCACATATTGGTCTAGTCGTTATGGAGTATTTGTCAATCCTTCGAAATGCCAAGGATTACAATACCGTTCAGTAAGTCTGTAAAAAATCTTGGCCTACTCATTGACAGCACACTGAATTGGAGAACTCAGGATACTGAAGTGAGTCGTAAAGTCACTGCCACGTTACGTTCTGTCTATCGTTTAAAACATTTTTTCCCCAAAAAGTCTAAGATCATGCTTGTCCAATCGCTCATATTACCCATAATTGATTATGCAGATGTGTGTTACCCGGATCTATCCCAGGCTCTTCTGAACAAGCTGGAACGCCTTCTCAATAACTGTGTGGCGGCGCTGTTGTCGCGCCACAAGCGAAACATATCGAAGCCTAAATCGCACTAACAAAGTTCCGAAGTTAAAGCAATATATATATACAATAGCTCCGAACTACCACTCGGTGCGTTGGCCGCTCCCCGGGCAGAACACCTTGCCCGGCGGGAGATTTCCCCTTTTCCTTCCACCGCCACAGTGGTGACCCCGACGTGATAATGACGCGCTGTCGTCGCGCCACAACTGTATAAGATTTATTTTCGGGCTTCGTAAGTATGACCATATTTCGCAATATAGATCTAAGCTTAATTGGCTTACAATCCGGCAGAGGCGTATTTCCAGTATATTACGTGTTCTTTTTTTCATATTAAATGACCCATTTTCGCCTTATCTCGAGAGTAAAGAACAGTGGTAGAATAATAGTTAACAAAAATTATTGCGTCTAGAAATAGGTTATATATGAAATAAGTTTTATTATTTTTCTATGATTTTTCAAATAAAAATGTATTTTAATTAAAGCCACAGAAGAAAAAAAAACATTTTTGGGAATATTGATGACTTTAATCATTTTACTCTATTCGAGTGTTGCCATTTACTATATTCATACTATTTTTGTATGCACATTGTAAGACTAACAACACAACACACAAACACAAATATTTTTATATTAAGTTATTATTAGCAAAAACTATACTATCAGTAATAATAAAAATAAAAGTGATATGGTTGAAAACAACTCTCTTACAAAGAACTTCCTACAATAATACATTATCTCAATCATAGTGTTATGTAACAATTTCATTTAATGTCATGGTAACACTAGCTAAAAAATCTCACTTTTTTTCTTGCTTTACGGCTCTGGGTTCTAGCCCTTCTGAGAATGTCACTGTATGACACAAAGGCCTTGGAGCCATGCCAGAAATATACATTTATAGTATGCAAATATGTAATAGAGATACAATAATCTAAAAACTCTCAATTATGTAGGTAGGTACATTGTGTTGAGAATGTATTAACCTATCATCAAACAACCACAGGACGCCTCACTTTTTTCAAGTGACATTAAACATAACCTAAACAGGTTCAAATCTAAATATCTTTTTTTTGACGCCTTCTTAGGACAAAATTCTTTGACAGAGTTATTAAGGGACTGACGCTTAACATTTTAAGATATTTTTTATATACGAGGGGTGATCCAAAAGTAATGATAATGAAAATAAAACACGGGAATTAAAGTTAAAATAATAATTTATTTTTCTACATAGTCTCCTAACAAATCAATACATTTATTCCATCTTTTTACTAAACCCAGGATTCACTTTAAAAAAAAATTCTTTGTCTTGACCCTCCCAAAACGCTTCAACAGCGGCCATTACTTCGCTATCGTCTTCCAATTTCTTGCCTCGGAGGCGTTCCTTGAGGCGAGGAAAGAGGTAGAAATCACTAGGAGCTAGATCTGGCGAATAGGGAGGGTTCGAATCCCGTTTCTTGAATGGCAGCCATCGCAACTGCGGCTTTGTGAGCCGGTGCGTTGTCTTGGTGAAACAGCACTCCAGCTCGCAGTTTGCCGCGTCTTTTTTCCTTAATGGCCTCCCGTAATCTTCTTATTTGGTCTGCGTAGTAAGAGCCCGTAATAGTGGCTCCCTTTTCCAAATATTCTACCATAATTATGCCTTGAGCGTCCCAAAAACAGATGCCATAACCTTTCCCGCCGAACTCGAAACTTTGAATTTCTTCGGCGTCGGTGAGGAGGCTCCCTTCCAAGTTATCGATTTTTGTTTCGTTTCAGGATCAATATGGTGGATCCAGGTCTTATCCATAGTCACAAAACGGAACAAAAAATTTTCTTGATCTGCTTGGAACTTTTCGAGATTGATCCTCGAAATGTCAACTCGATTTTTCTTTTGCTCGTCGGTTAACATTCTGGGTACCCAACGCGCAGAGACCTTTTTCATATGCAACTCGTTCGCAAGGATTCTTTGAACGCTGCCATATGAGATCCCTGTGACCTCAGCTACATGCCTGATGGTTATTCTTCGATCTGCCAACACAACATCTTCGACTTTTTTCACGTTGTCTTCAGTGAGGGATGTGGATGGGCGTCCTTCGCGATGTTCATCTTCAGTGGATGTTCTGCCCAGTTTAAACTCCTTGGCCCAGCGTGCAACTGTAGAATATGGAGGAGCAGAGTCTCCCAATGTTTCCACTAAGTCACTGTGTATGTCTTTTGAAGACATTTTTTTCAAACAGAGGTACTTGATGACAGCTCTAATTTCGTTTTTCTCCATGTTGATGTTATCTCTTTGACAGTTCGTATTCAAATGAATGTATCTCCCGGAAATCGTGATCTATTTATATAATTTTTTTAGGCTGACGTAGTGAGTATATACGCCAGCAAAAAATATTATTTTTGGATTTTTATGCGGACCTGAAGTAACCGATTATCATTACTTTTGGATCACCCCTCGTATAGACGCTAACATTCCTGCTCAACTAATTTTATGTATGAAAGTCTGCCATTGTTCTTTCACTATCTCTCCTCATCTCATGATAGGATACGTTCTTCTTCTAACAACAAAATATGTATTTCAGTTCACTTCACCGAGTTCTATGGTAACTCCTTTACAGTTCAGGCTACACGCCTTTGGAACTCCTTGCCTGATGACATCAGAAAATCTCCCAATAAGTTTGCTTTTAATAAGTTGGTGCGTAATCATCTATTAAAGACAACGCTTCTTACATGAATCATCCATGTCATTTATTATTTAGGCGTATATATTCATAGTTATTTATATGTACTATTTGAATATACCTAGTTAGTTCATAAATTCTGTCACATCTTTAATATAAAATAATTGAAACAAGTTTATTCATTATGTAACCATTTTGTGCCGGACGGGCGAAACTCTCCGGAGTAAATGTTGTCGTAGATACCCCGCGAGTCGCTCACGTCCTACACCTGTAGGTTCCAGACTCCTCCAACTGCCGTCTTTCACTGCCGTCTTTCACTGCCGTCTCTTTGGTTGCTGCGGATAAACTGTGGACTGAGGTTCAAAATTAAAATGCACGATTTGTAAATTAAAATAGCAAGGGAGTGGCCAGCGGATCGACTAATTAATTTGTCGCGAGATTTTACACTGTTATTTATTTATCACTATTTTTCAACTATGAATGTTCACTATATATTTTAAAACACAGATTTAATTAAACACACAGTAATATTAAAATTTCTATTGGTTTTCTAAAATTTCTATTCGTATTTTTAAAATATCTGTTGGTAATATCAAATTTCTATTGGCAGTAACAAGTTTCTATTGGTATTCTCTACAATTTCTATTGGTAATTTTAAATATCTATTGAAAGTAACAAATTTCTATTGGTAGTATCCAAAATTTCTATTGGTAGCAGCTGGTTTTCTAACACTACTGACTAGCAGCTATTAATCAACTAAAATTAGTTGAATTTAAACACTTTTGTAACTGCGAATATCAGTTACCACTTTTTCCGTCTAGCTAACACTTTTCACGAAATGTAACGGCGAAATTTCCGTTACCACTTTTTTCAGCTAGCCAACACTTTTTCACTATATGTAACTGCGAATATCAGTTACCACTATTTTTGGCTAGCTGACACTATTTTTCTATGTGCAACTGAGAATTTTCAGTTGCCACTTTTTTCCGACTATGTGTAACTGCGATTTTTCAGTTACGACCTTTTTCGGCTAGCTAAACTTTTCTATTTCACTTTAACTTTTCACTGTGTTCTGCTACTAGTCACTTCAGCTACTACCGGATACTGCTGCTTGTTACTGGTAGTTCTTCCTACTACGATGTTACTGTGATTTGCCCCCATAAGGTAGACTTCGGCTATACTCTATAGAGAGCCGCTTGCCAATTCCCATTTGCCTCTTTATTTTCAATCATTTTTCTTTATGCAAATGGCACAAATTGCAACTTTTCTATATAATACAAATCTTAACTCTAACATGCTATACATCATTAAATAGACATTTTTGTTCTACATTAGTATGCGATAAAGGATAATTAATATATTTACATTTAACAAAGTTATTCATTGAAATGTCCTAAACTTTTACACTAATTGGTCATATTAATTCTTTAATTATCCTATAACTTTTAAATCGTGCTTAATTATACAAAATATTTCTTTATTATAACGATCTATACATCATATGCTAACTAAATACCATATTTACAACTCTTTTCAGACATAAAATTATTCTCATTAATTTTTTGCTTAAAACTATTACGCAGTTAATTTAAATTTCCAGAAAGTTCTATAGCGCGGCGCGCTGTGATTGGTCGATATTTTCTTAAACAAAATAAAGTTGTTTATATTAACTATTGTCAAATCGACCTTCTATACAAACATATTGAGAGTTGTAAATACATGGTAAAACTATATTTAATACATTATTTAGTCAATTTTTCCGTATTTTCATTTTTTTAAACAAATAAATATTCCTTAATCACTTTCTCGTTTAAAGTCATTTTTGCCGTTGTGAACAGTCATTTTGGCCGTCTCGAACATTTCTCCCGCCGTGCAGCGTCGCGAAGACCCGTCGCAGCGGCGCTGCATAATTTCGGTGAGAGACGTTGCCTCTACTTCGGCAGCGGCACGAGTTTTCTGGTTGGCCTCTTGATTAGTCCATTCGCTGTGCGTACCTCCACAGTGCGGATCTGTCCGTCCGCCCCGGGGTATATGTTTTCAATCCTTCCTCGTGGCCAGGTGTTACGAGGTAACTGGCTGTCAGCTATGAGGACTGGATCGCCCACCTGGAGATCGGGGCCTTGACCGTGGGCCTCCCGCCGGTTTTGAAGTTCCGGCAGATATTCTTTGACCCAACGCTGCCAGAACATGTCAGCGAGTATCTGGGAGCGTCGCCAGTGTTTTTTGCTGTTCGCATCTTTTTCACTAAAAACTCCAGGTGTTGGCAGTCTCGCAGATCCTCCCAATAGGAAGTGATTTGGAGTGATGGACTCGTTGTCTTTGCTGTCTACTGAGATGTGAGTCAATGGTCTGCTGTTTACTGTATATTCCACCTCGCAGAGCAGCGTGGTCAAGACATCTTCGTGCGGATGTCTCTCATGAAGGACGGTGTATAGTGCCGTCTTCACGCATCGAACAAGCCGTTCCCACACCCCTCCCATGAAAGGCGCGGAGGGGGTTATAAATCGCCAGACTATGCCTCGTCGGCTGGCTTCTTCTCGGAAGGCCTCTCGAAGCTCCTTGTCGGCACCGTGCATATTGGTGCCGTTGTCCGAGTAAATCTCGGTGGGACATCCTCGGCGCGCTGCGAATCTTCTTAATGCCAGTATGGCAGAGTCTGCGCTGAGATCTTTCACAATTTCCAAATGTACAGCTCGTGATGTAAGGCAGGTGAAGAGCGCCACGTATCTCTTCTGATGTTGACGTCCCACTGTTACGGAGAGTGGCCCAAAATAATCCAGGCCGGTGAACGTGAACGGTCTCTGGTGATGTGCGAGACGCGTGCTGGGATGATCACCGGTGGCTGGCATGGATGGTTGTGCCTTTCTTATGCGGCACTGAACGCATTGGCTTACTATTCTTTTAGTAGTGGGTCTTAGTCTGATTACCCAGTAATGCTGTCGAACCTCGTTGATGGTTGGTTCGGTCCCGCAATGATGCAGGCTACGATGCGTCCAATCAATATACAATTGGGTGATGTGATGATCACCATCCAATATAGCTGGCCCTTTCATATCTTCAGAGACTCCTTTTACAGCGGCTATTCGACTTCGTAGCGCAATGATCCCGTCTTTCAATTGTATCTGTAGTGGTCGTAGGCGGCTATCATGGGCGACCCTCTTATCGTTACGGAGATCGGCTATCTCTTGTGTGAAGGAGTCTTCCTGGATGACATGTACCAGGAGCTTTTCGGCCTTTCTTATATATTCGGCCTCCAGTGTGATGTATTTGTTTACATCTTTGCTTTTCACCTGACTGGGAGGCTGCGCGAGACGTCGCGGATTGCACTTCGATCTCCTCCAGTCGGGGTATTTCTCTCTATTTTTTTTTGTCCTTTTATAAAAGGTCCTGTCGGTTGTTTTGCGGCAGAGTGTTATGCGAAACTTTTCTGGTTTCATCGGATTATGGACATCGAAATGAGGTAGATACCATGTCTTTCCTGGTATACTATTCTTTGGCGCTATTTCGGCGTATCCCTTTTGTATCAGGGAATTCATTTCTTCGTTGTACTTCTGCTTTAGCTCTTCGTTTCGATCTAGTTTTTTCTCGATAGAAACGAGCCTGTTTATCGCCGTTTCATAATTTCCAGGCATTTCGATGTCTTTCTTTTTCCATAGAAGCGCTGTTTCTATGTGCCCGTCTTCCAACTGACGGGTGCTGCTATTTAGTATTTCTTCGGCTTGCTTCTCTGGATCGGAATCTGGTCTTCTCGGATTTATCATTAAAGATTCCAGCGCGAAGTATTCGCGGAGTTGGTCATTTATATTCTCCTCGCTCGTGTACAGCTCGTTGGCCGTGTGGACGCGCTGATGCGGGGCTTTAGTGTGCGCCCCGTGTAGCACCCATCCCAGTTCTGTGAGCGAGGCTATTGGCTGATGCGGTGGACCTCTGCGTACTTGTGTGGCTATTAAGAGTCTCCAGTTGTCTTGTCCTATCAGGATCCTAGGGTTGCCTGAATCATATGTCAATTGATCCTTTAAGCCTTTCAAATGCTTACAATTTTCTATGTCTGTTGCACGCACAGTCTGCGGCCCCAAGTTTAGGCTGGCGACCGTGCGTGCTCTGAATGGCACCCTTTTTCTATGGAGACTCTTTAGTGACACTTTGACTCTTTGGGAGTCCGGCGAATCGAGGGTAGTGTTCCCGATAGCTGTGATCTTGAATGGGTCCAACCGCCCTTTAGCTCCAATTTGATCGGCAATCTCTTGATCCATTAACGAGACTGTCGACCCATCATCCAGCAGAGCGTGTGTGTTTATTGCTCCCGCCGGTCCAATTACTCGAACTGGAATTATCTTCAAGTAAGCTTGATGCTTTGATACAGCGAATGAGTTTGCCACTGTCTCTTGAGGTTCTTTTAGTGGGCCCTCTGTCTTTTCCTTTCTATTATTATGAAGGAGTCGATTGTGTGTCGCGTTGCATCCTTTTATTCCACACTTCGTGGTTTTGCATCTGTGTGTCTGACTTCTATAACGCAGACACCGGAAACATAAATTCCTTTGCTTGGCGAGTTGCCATCTTTTATCAATATCTGCCTCTTTAAACTTGTTGCAGTCGG